TCCATTGGTGGATGTTGTCATAATTTCTCACCTAATCCTCTACAGTCAAGGAGGACGTGTCGTTGTCAATTTACAATTGGACGTTCAATCAGGACAACAACAGCAATCTTCACATTGTTTTTCCCTAGGCGCCTATCAGTTAACACAGTTGGACTTTGATGACACTGCGGTGTGGACCAAGACGGAGGGAGAAAATAAAGAGACGGAGCAAGAGAAAACCAGAACACAGTGCTGGGTGCTGTCATCAAACAATACTAGGCCTGAGTCATAATGCAACCTGCATACAGTCGTAGCAAAAGGTTTATCTGCAAAAGGAGGGACCAGAATGACATAAAGATAAACATAACACCCTGATATTTGCCAATTATCGTAAAACATGGGCCCATGGCTGGTACCTGCTACAGTGATCCTACAGTTTAGTTCTAGTAATTGTTTCAATAACTGTTCATTTACTGTAATAGTCAGACCTATTGGTTTATAGTTACTTGTTTAATGTTTCTCACCCCTTTTTGGGATGGACACTACCTTGTTACTACTACTCCTGTGAGTAGGGTACTACTCCTGTAAATGCTGAACTGCTAACATCATCCAGAAAATTGTAGAATTATTACAAATACCACTGGTAGGCTTTTTACCCACTGACGAAGAAGAGATGGTGGTATATCTAGATCTAGAGTGTGCGAATCACACTTTATACGGTAAGTACATAACAAATACAGTTGTTAACAGTGAGCAGACAATAATAAAGAAGTTGTAATGGAGAAATATCTGATTCTAGCTAATAACCGTGCAGTTAGTGATTTGTTATGTGTCATTAACAGTGGATAGTGTTATTACCAGCCTTTCAAGATCTTCCTGCACCATTATGCTGCAGCTAACAGAGCTTCATATTGTACAGACCCATTCTCTATCTGGTGGAGTTCATCTCCCCTGCTGATGGAATGGACATTCTCAAGGAGCCTGCCTACCCAGTAGGTGTTTGTGAGGTGGGAGGAAACCACAACACCTGGCAAAAGCATAGCGGAACACGGGAAGAACACGAAAGACCAGACCCAGGACATTGAAGCTGTGACGCAACAGTGCTGACTGCCACACCACTCGTGCCACCTGTAAGGTAGAGATCAAACTAATTATACACACGAAAAGGTTCTCTGTAAAATGATGATCTACAATGAGACAGACTTACCAGAGACTTATTAGTGAAGAAATGAGGCTGTAATTATTTAGTGCACCAGTCATAATGTAATTCTTCAATATCAAGATATTATCCTATTCTCAGACTGATAAATGTTTGTAGAGATGACTAGACTTAAATTACCTTGGAATGTTTGTTTATACAGTATGCAGAAATACAGGCATATGTGCATACATATAAAATCCACAGATCTGAAGCTTGGTCCCAACATTGTGAGAAACAGCTGTAGCGAAAAATACCATGATCTATAACTGCAAGGATCAAAAGGTTACTGAAGGCTGTTGAGTCAGGAGAGAAGAAGATCAGATGCATATACTTGCAATTAATATTCTGGAACCAAAAAGTAAGGACAACATTAAATGAAACACTTATGCTTTATACCGGGTTATTGAAATATCACAGACATTTAGAGCAGCTAAATTTTTATTTACAAGATAATGCTGCCCCCTGGAGTTCAGTTTAATTGCTTTCATTCACAAACCTCAGTTATACCTGCAATGTAACTGCTTCTAAAATTAAATTAATTTGGGTAAATGGGTCTACAATTCTGTGCACAATGCAGGAATGAAGAACTCCACTCCTCAAGAGCTAGACCTTTGTAGGTTTTACAGGTGATTTTCCAATAGCAACTCATCAAAACTGGAAAAGCAGCAGGTGACGTATACAAAATTCTCCTGGCACATCAAGTGTATTTTAGAAATCATTCCAATTAGAAAAGGGGAAATGTAATTGAAAAATTGCCCCCTCATGAATATCCTGAAAGTAAAAACCAAATCAGTTTTCTAAAAATATGCTTGAGGTGTACTGCATTTTGAACATATGCAAAGCATTTCCAGTATCATAAGTAATCAGTAATATAAATCGTTTATATTGAAGCACTGTATTATTAAAGGTGTTATTTTTATTTAACTATATAACTAAGTTTACATTAAAAAAATTAAAGGTGTTCTTTATGATAGTGTATTAAAAACACAAAACTAGTTGTCAAAATGATGTATACTTATCACACTTTTTACCCTTATGTCAGAAAACCACACCAAATGTATTTAAAATACAACACAAAAAACCAAAGCAGTATTTTACATTTTATTTTTAACATACTGTAAAGCCTAATTTATTTTTCACACGATTGAAATAACCCCTTTTGTTCTCCTGATAAACTGTTATTATGTTACCTTTGCGCAACACGTGTTTTGTAACTGACGCAGAAGTCAAATATTTGCATGTCTCACACTCCAGGAAGTTCAGAGAAGGGGTTTTCCAGATCTAGCTTGCGGGAAGTGTAAATTAGAAACAGCAGGCAAAACAAAAGGGCAAATAACAAACTTCAGAAATGAAAGATCCAATAATAATATTATAAAAATATTAGTATGTATACATAGACTCATTTAAACGGTCGGGATTATAATTTATTTAAAATCGGCTTATCCGAATGCGTTTTTTAAAAGAAGGCAAGTTTCCAGACTCCGTCTAAATGCCATTAAACTCGTAAGAAAAGCTACATTTTATATACTGATCGCTTCAATCAGTGGTTCGCAGTGTAGGAAAAATGGATTTGCTGCTTTGTCGGCTAGGATGGATTTCTTTCTGGATAACATTGACAGCAAGTGTGCGTATTTTAGAGATCCCACCGATAAATTGCACTCAGAACGTAAGTAATTATTTGTATTACGTGTTGATGACAACCATGACTACTGCTTTACCAGCTTCGACTCGAGCCTTGATTACTCTTTCCCTTTTTATATTTAGAGCTAATCGTTCCACTTAAACGTTAATTCTAATAAATATTTCAGATGAATGATAACCTTGTAACTTCAAATGCATACATGGAAATTTAATATTGTATCAACTTGTAGCATAAAGGTTCTTCTATATATAAATCAGTTAATTGAGTATACTGCTAATATTAATTGGAGCTACTCTATGTTTGTGTTTATAAATTGATATAAACTATTACCAATGTTAATGAAAAAGATTAGTTTATAAGGTGCCTTATAAGGTTAATTGAAGTATTGGTATATTGTTTTGTCTATTTCAGCGGTGTGAAACATTTAATGACTTTTTAACTTATGGAAATGTAAGAAGAAAAGAAACTCTGTTGTTCATTTATGTTCATACAAAAGAAGAAGTGTTTCAATACGAACAGATACAATAGTTTGCGTTCTTTCCAACTCTTACAATGAAACGTAAAGGGATGTCATTTTATATCGTATGGCAGACATCCTTAAAATAAAAAAGTGAGTAATTTTTTTTCTTTTTTGTTTTCGATCTGCAGGGCCTGAAGTGCACTGCTGTGAAAAGTAAGTCAAATCAAATCTCAGTCTCTTTTTGCTAGTTACCAGTTCATATTTGATACTGCTGCCAACCTTTCTGTTTAACTCATGATCATAATACTAGCTATCTTACTTTTTGTAGATTGTATGTAATCGTGTATATTGTGGACCACTAATATTTAAACTGCAGAATGTAAGAAAAGTGAATCAAAAGGCGAGATGGCCTTTTGATCCATCATGGATCCATCTTCATTCCATTTCGGATTGCTTTATTGGCAATACCTAGAGCATCCTTCTTGGGCGTAGTGGTGGAACTGTGCCTAAGGATCTGTGCCGGTGGCTGGAAGGTTGCTGGTTTAAATCCTGTGGCCAGCAGAGGAATCCTACTCTGTTGGGCCCCTGAGCAAGGCCCTTAACCCCAGCTGCTCCAGGGGTTGGCTGACCTTGTGCTCTGACCCCAAGCTTCTCTCTACCCATCTGTGTACCTGTGTGTCACATGGAGAGCAAGATGGGTAATCCAAAAAGACAAATTCCTAATGTAAAAAATTTTATATGGCTAATAAAGTGATCTTATCTTAGGTGGGTAGTTGCTTCAGCATGCTTAGGCTGCAAAGGAACACGTTATACATTTATTCCATGCTGAAAAGAGAAGAAAGAAAACACAACATTTTGGCTGTGGAGCCTTCTTCAGCCTTCTTGATCTGAAGAAGGCTCCATGGCCGAAATGTTGTGTTTTCTTTCTTCTCTTTTCAGCATGGAATAAACCTATTATCTTATCTTACAACCCCTTGTAAGTGTCTCCTGTTTCCACTCCTAAATCCACTCCGTTATTTCCAATTTCTGACCATGAGCTCTTGTTTCATCGCTGAATATATGCTTACTTTCAGGAAACACTACCTTTCAATCTCCTCTTTTTAGGAGTACAGACAGTTATGGAATTTAATTTGTGTAGCTCAAAGATTGTTTTAGACTCTTCACAGCCGCATCCTCCTTTTTGAATGTAGCAAAAATATTCCAAATAACATATTCCTTGCAAATTCCAATACTATATCATCCGTTTATCTAAATTGTATTGACTTTCACTACTCAGGTCTTGTTTTGGCTTCTCCACATTACTTTCAAGAGAAAAAAAGATGCAGTGGGTATTTCCCTAGTTTCTGTGTCTCCCATTTGATATTTTCAATGGAGGCTCTTATTGCTTGCATGTATTACTCTACACACATATTCCATATTCCATTTGCCTGACTTGAATAGTGTTTTCATATTAAATCTGCTCTGCTTCTACAATGTTAGAATCCCTGCACACGAATTTAGTGTCATCTGCAAACTTCAGAATTTAACCAAATCAAAGAAAAAAAATCTTTTTTCATTTTTTCTAAAAAAAAAAGTACAGATCACCACAGTAATTTCCTGATACCATCATTCCACTTACTACTTCCATTATACAGTGGACCCTTGTCCAAAGTGAGAGTTATGTTCATCCACAGCTGCCTTGTTACGTCACCCTTTAATACCTACAGTATACATGTACAATATTTCACACAAGTGAATGACACCACCTTTACTTAAGTGTGTAATATCAATAACAAATGATATTACATCCACTTTACATCTGTTTTTTTCCTGTTTACAACTGTTTTGTGCAATATATGCTAGGGAAATGTGCAGTATACATTATTGATATACTGCACAATTCCCTAGCATATATTGCACAAAAACAGTTGTAAACAGGAAAAAAACAGATGTAAGCAGAGAGTTTTATCTTG